GACTGAAAAATTCATCTGTCAATCCAATGGACTTGCAATGTTTTGAGCCATGTAATTAGGTCAAAATTATGCAATTGGACTCTTGAGATCATGCCTTAAACCAATTGATCATTTGTTAGGTCAAAAATCAGAAATTGCCATTTCCCAGTCAAAACCCTAATTTTGACCATTTTGCCCTTTTGGAGATTTGATCAAATTTCTTGAGTTGTGGTCCAAACTGATCAAATGATACATATGAGTTTATAATGTTGATGTGGATAAAAAATTATGAAGTTTGACTGTAAATTGACCATAGTTGATTTTTTCTCCAATACAACTGGTTTTTGGGTCAACTGCTCAATTGATTGAGCAAAAGTGTGATTTAAAGCTTGAAACTTGACATGAGTAATCTTAGGGGTCCATAATGATCCATGAAAGTCATATGGGGTATTGGAAGTTCAAATATCCTTGTGAAATCTCAAACCTTAATTTTGGTCATCAGTGTTTAAGGAGGTGTCTTGAGCTGATCAAACCCTAGTGCAGTCTTGAGCTAAGGAGATCTTGTGAGCAAATTCTTGATAAGTGAGAGGAAAATTTTGGGGTACAATACTATCATTCTGACCTTCCAATAGTCATAGTTTTCACCATTTAACAAAGGTGGTATGTTGTTGTATCCTCCTTCCTTGTCCATGATACCAGAAAATATTCTCCCTAGAGCTCACCCAAAAAAAATATGGTGCCAACTCTGATGCCAATTGAAATTCTGGCACTTTCAATATAGATGTCAATACTGATGTCCCAACACCAAACACAATGTCCATACATATGTTAAGACATCATTTGCTGACAAAACAATTTTACCAACTAGTAAATTATGCAGAATTAAATTGCAAAAGGTAAAATAACACAATCAATTATTAACCCATTTCAGTGCAACATCGCCTACTATGGGGGCATCCAAGCAAGGAACGAAATCCACTATGATAGTATTAGTTCAAATCTAAACAACCCTAGTTTACAACTTATCACCTAATCATTACCTTATGCAACTTTTACCTAGGAATACCCTAGATATGAGAACCCCATCTCACTTCCCACAATCACCTTAGTGATAACAATAAAAGACCAAAAATAGAAGAACACACTTACAATTACAATACCCAGTTCTGCTTAAAAGCTTTTAACTAAGAACAATGGACAATGAACAATCAGTCAAACTCTATGTATCAACATGATACATGAGTGACATACACAAAAACACAGTACTCTAAAAAGACTCCCAAGCCCTAAGACTTTTGTGAAATAACTTTTCCTTATTTTTCTTACACTTTCATTAGGTTTAGGTTTTTCCTTTTAAATACCCCAGCTTCCCATGGGGCTTCGAATTCTCTGCCTAAGTTATTGTAGATTTACCAGCTGATAATTGCACTAATTATGCAGAAAAATCTCCTTAAGCTTGGAACAAAATAACATAAGTTTCCTAAATTGCCTCAATATCCAATTTTACAAACTAATGTATAGTTAGAGATAAAACCAATTGTTCCAAATAAAATATTCCTGACATGTGCAAATAAGTGAGATGTATCCAAGAGAAAGAATAAGGGCATGGCTTTCAAAGTTGAAATTGAAGATTGTGATAACCAGGTAGAGTGCCATGTTATTAAAGAGATTTAGCAAGGTCATAAAAAGACTTGATATAAGGTCCAGGAATAATGTTTGTACCAAAGTCAAAGATAACAAACAACATAACTCAAAATGTGTCAAATTTCCGATTAAAGGAAAAGATGGAGAAAAACTGAACAAAGACAAGGGAATCTAATATGGACAACACCTACTTTCGCTAGCGTGTTGTCCCACCTTTAACAAACAAGACGCTTGTCGACTTTCGCTCGCGCAGAATTATTTATCAAAGATCATTACTTTTGCATAGCTATAAAGATGGAGCATTTCTCAACCTTATTCAAGTACTTTCACATCATCAAATTTAGTTGTCTAAAAACTTGTTATCGAGTATCGATACAAGTCCTTTCAAATCATTATCGATACTTGAAAACTCATTTATTTTCGTAAAAAGGGTGAACTATAAAAACTTAGGTTTATAAAATAAAGGCATTTCGAATTCTCATAAGCGGTAAATCAAATACATAGATGGTTAAGAGTTAGGTCTCACGACCCTTTATCTTTATGGAACTACTCACTCATGGTGAGAAAATAAGAAATCAAATCAAAGATAATGGAAAACATTATTAAATTAATTATAAAGAACGCAATAAAAATAACCTTATGAAAATAAAATACTGAATATATTAAGAACTCTTGATCCAACTTCTCCAATGGAGGCTTTTACAAAACTTGATAAAAATATGCAGAGACAATTGTACGTTAAAAGCTTGATCCCAATCCTTACAAAATTATTTGCTTAAATAGAAAAATAGCCCTAAACAAACATATCTAAGATATTAAGTGAAATCAAATCAGATCTCAAAATGCCAAAAATCCCAAAACAGCACAATCGAACCGAAAAAGGGAACATTTGATGGAAGTTGGGTATGCCTGTTACGGGCCGTAACACGTATTACGGGCACCCGTAACATGTCATAGATTTTTTATACGGGCGTGTGTGCAAGGAGGGGCTTCAGTCTGGAGCCTGTTACGGGCCGTAACGTGTGTTACGGGCACCTGTAACCTTTCTTTGGTTTTTGTACAGGATACTTGTGGTTTTTGCGCTTTTCTTCGTTTTTCAGTCGATTTGATCTCTTTTTCTTCCGGTATGATCATGAGAGCCTGAAAATGACAGAAACATAATACCAAAGCATAAAATATAAAAAAGTGAAGAAAAACAAGTAAAACATGATGAGAATAAGACTAAATATACTTATAAAAACGATACAAAACACACTTATCAAAAGGGCCTTCCGATGCAATTGTTTGATGACTTTATAGATAATCTCAACATTCGTCAACCTCCAATTTCGATAACGGAGGTGTATTAGATATGAAATATTCTTTGTATTATTTTTAATCTTTTATTTTTAGTAATACACTTGAGTAGATTGATTAGGAATGAGTCAATCATGATTCCATACTCCATGTGTGTGCAAAAAGGTATATATAAGTGGTCAGATCAAAATTGGTACTCGGTCGTTCCAATCAAAATCACATAATGCATACATCCAAATTAAAAACATTGTACTAATATTTCAATTAAATGGATTGATCCGTAGTAGTTATGGAAAATCATTCATCAAGTTTATTTTGTGTATCTTGCATAACATTGTTTAGATATAGACCAGTTGTTTGCACCACTGTTTAAACGGCTTCTTCGATGATCTCTTTAGAAGAGGGATTTGTGGGTTTGAGAGGATCCATGAGAGTAGAAGATGAAAGAACCAATTGATAAAGAAATTAATGCAACTATTTTTCAGATCTAGATTTAGCCACTAGATAAACATAAAACAACATAAGAAATAAAGTTCAGATTCATTCATAGCTTGCAATGAGGTAGCAGCCTCTTTAAATACAAACAATAACCCTATCAATTTATCCTATTGGGCCTAACCCACTTGAAGGAAATAAAGCTTGCTATAACTCAAACATATTAATTGGTAACAAAGTCTTGCAAATACTTGGGCTTGAATCTAATGTGTGAGGGCTTGCTATCATGGATACTCACTTTGTACTTGAAAAGGTTGCTCATGGTCAACCTTAGGTTACCAAATAGCTAAGACTTCTACAAAGGGCTTCCACTGCAGTTGTTTGATGGCTTTATAGATAACCTCAACATTCGTCAACCTCGAACTTTGATTACAGAGGTGTATTAAATATGGACATTCTTTATATCATTCTTAATATCTCTTATTTTTAGTAATACATCCTAGTAGATTGATTAGGGGAGAGTCAATCATGATTCCATACTTCTGTGTGTGTGAAAAGGTATATAGGTGGTCAGACCAAAATTGGTTCTCGGTAGTTCTAATCAAAATCACATAATGCATACTTTTAAATTAAGAAACTCCCGCATGAAAGTAGATTGATTAGCGGAGAGTCAATCATGGTTCCATACTCCTGTGTGTGCAAAAAGGTATATAAATGGTCAAACCAAAATTGGTTCTCGGTAGTTCCAATCAAAATCACATAATGCATACTTTCAAATTAAGAAACTCGCATGAAGGTGGCATGCATTATATAATATGAAATCAGTTTGGCATCTTTCTTAAATTCCTTGGACTCGCTGTATTGTCTCTATACTAATCTATTACTCCCTCTGTTTCTTTTTAAATATGGTTTTAGAATAAATTTTTTGTTTCCATTTAAATGCCGTTTTTATAGTTTAATGTTAAAATTTGTCAATTATACCCTTATTTTTTCAATAACTCAACTTCACATTTTTCATTAAATTAATTATTTTCTCAACTAATTATTGAAAAAAGATAGAGAATATGTGATTAAATTTATTTGGAAAGGGAAAATAAATGAGAGTATAATAGAAAAAATAACTCTAACAATCCAGTATCTTAGTTGAAGAGCTTTATGTTAAAATGACAGTTAAAAAAGAACGGAGGAAGTAATAAACATAGCATAATGTCGAATTCAAAACACATTGCATTTATCTATTTTATACCTCTAATTATAAAATGCAAAACAGTTAGTTTCAGCCACACCATCTTTTGCACTGTTTGTAAATGTGTTAATCTGTGTTGACAGAAATGTTTTTATGACACATAATTTTCCATTAGACACCCGAAAACCATACTGTTGATATTTTTTATAACCATAATATGAAAATTTGCATTCTGAAAGAAAGATTTGAGAATTGTTGGAACACCAAAAATTTCAATTAAATGGACTGATCGGGTTGGTGACAAGAATTCAAATAGAAAGTAATAACACCAATTTAAACTGAGTGTGAAAATCTGCATAAAAAGTATTGCAAAGAGTGTAAGAGATACAATAAACCATATCTTATTAACTAATATATTACAATAGCACTACTATTGTCTTACATTAAAACATACAATAAACTATTGCCTCTGATGTATCTTTCTCCTTTGGCCATTATCTTTTCCTTGTCTGCGTGTTAACCTCAGTAATTTGTAAATAATTTGATCCACAAAATCAAAATATACATCTCCCCAAGAACTCTTGATTGTTATAATGAGATAAGGAACAAGAATACCTGTTGCAAACCCCAAACCAAGGCTCAAGTAAGAGCAGTTATCAAACAAACCTTCACCATTTGTATCATTATTAGTACTATGTCTGTTGTCATCATCACCCGAACACTTCACAGGGAGTGGAGGACCACAAAGACCAGGATTCCCAGTAAAAGTTAAAGCATCAAAGGTTGTCATATGACCTGTATAAGGAATGACACCCCTGAGGTTGTTATTGGACAAATGTAGGGACCCCAAAAATGACAAGGAAGACAAACTTGAAGGAATTGTTCCAGTAAGTTTGTTGTTTGAGAGATCAAGAGAGGATAGTTGAAGCAAATTTGACATGGTTTCAGGAATTTGGCCAGTTATATGGTTTGTTGACAAGTTGAGAACCACCAAACCATACAATTCTGTTATTTCATTGGGAATATTGCCGGTGAAATTATTATCAGAAAGGTCTATACTAGTAACAAGGGAAAGAGTCCTGGTATACTTTAATAGTTGGTCTTTCACATACACATCTAAGCTTTCTTCATAGTAGTGTTGTTCAAATTTTCCATACAGTAAATACTTGTTTTTCTTCTGCACTTGGGCTATTGCTTTCAGATAACTCAAGCTAGCTGGAATGTTCCCACTCAAGTCATTTCTAGCAAGGTCAAGGATTTGTAGATAATCTAGTTTTGAAAAGTCAAGTGACAATTCTCCATAAAATGCATTAGACCTCAAAATTAGAATTCTTAGAAATGGAAAGCTTTGTCCAAACCAAGTTGGAATAGTACCAGACAAAAAATTGTAGCCAAGATCCATGGTTTCCAAAATGGACAAATTTGTTAATGATGATGGGAAATCCCCTGAAAAGCTGTTGTCGTTAAGGTGCAATGATCTTAGTTCTTTTAATTGGCCCAAGGAACCTGGAATTCTACCAAACAGACTATTATGTTCCAGTTAAGTTGTTGTTTGAAAGATTAATGACAGTAACAAGATACATTTCTCCTAAAGACAATGGTATTTCTCCATGGAGTTGATTATGTGAAAGAGATAAATATCCCACATAATGCATGTGTTGACTTATGTTCAATGGGATTTCACCAGAAAAGAGATTGTGTGAGAGGTCTAGCAAATAAAATCCAGGTGTTATAACGGGAAGCGGGCCTTCAAGAAGATTAAAGCTTAGGTCAATCATGTGATTAGAAGAAAATGCCCTGGGCAATGGATTTGGAAGCCGACCCTGTAACTCATTATGAGACATGTTTAAAAATGTTAAGTCGGATGAAATATTCCAAAACCAATTTGGAATAAAACCGAGGATGCTAGCATTGTAGAACACTAACTCGCGGAGATTAGTTTGTGATATCAGCCAAGGGGGAATTGAAGGCCCCAGAGCACATGAACCCATACGAAGAGAATATACTTGGAATGGCGGTAGCCAATTGGCAGAGACATTTATAGTGAACGAATTGGAAGACATGTGCAAAAAATTCAACTTACTTAGCTTAGAAAAATGATCTTCACTCACCATGCCTGTCAATTGATTGGAAGAAACATCTAAGCGTGATAACTTTGAAAGTTGTCCTAAGCTCTTTGGGAGAGTACCATTTAATTGATTCCTTTCAAGTATCAAGGTTATAAGATTTTGCAATGACCCTAAGGAAAAAGGAATGGGACCTTCAAGCTGGTTACGTGCAAGGTCTATACCGGCTAGACTTTCTAATTGAACTAACCAGTCTGGAATTTTACCATGAAGTTGATTGTAGCTCATGATAAAATACACAAGATTAGGAAGGGGTTTTCTGGAAGGACAATTTTGTATTCCTAGAAGAAATTCAGGTAGAGTTCCTGTCATCTTGTTTCTTGATAAATCAATAATATTCAAGTTGCAGAGTTGACCAATGGAACTAGGAATACCACCCTCAATAGCATTATCATGAAGATCCAAGTAAGTAAGATAGGTCAAGTTTCCAATGGATGAAGGAAGTCTCCCGTGTAATTTATTAATCGACAAATCAAGTACTTGTATCCTTTCCCATCCTTTCATCAGGAGTTGAGAACAGCTTGCTTTGAGATTTTCATTGTTCCCTAAATTCAAATACTGCAAGTTTGGTAGGTCTCTTAAGCCAAGTGGTATTTTTCCATGCAGATCATTATTGCTTATGTCAACATGTTGTAAGGTGTTAATATTAACTAGCCAATCAGGAATCATAGAAGAAAATTTATTAAAACTAAGATCTATGACAGAAAGTGAAGTTAAATTGAGAGATGGAGGAGATGGAATTTGTCCGAAAAGTTGGCAAGAAGATAGATGCAATTTCATTAAAGAAGGTAGCTGGTTTAATGCACTAACCCAATCTGTTGTCGCTACGGATGAAAGGTTGACTCCATCCATTGTAAAATGTTTCAAAGATACGAGGCCAGCCACCCATTCTAGATTTTCAACATGCAGGCTATAATCAGCGAGACCGAGAGACTGCAGGTGAGAAAGGTTTCCCAGATGAGGTGGAATTAAACCAGCAAAGCCAGCCTTTGACAGGTTCAGATATTGCAAATGCATCAGTGATCCCAAAAATTTAGGAATTGGTATTCCACTGAACGTGTTGAAGCTCAAGTCAAGATGCCTTAGCGACTTGAGCTTCATCAAAGATGGTCTCAGCTCACCACTTATGTTCCACATTTCATTCTTGCTGGGGGAAGAATCAAAGAGCCAGAATTCCACGTGAGATGGGTTATGGAGATCGACTGCAACGACAGCACCTGTGACGTTGTCACAGCGTATTCCTTGCCATTGACAACAGTTGGTGTTTCTCCATGAAGAGAGGCGGTTGTGAGAATACTGAAGCCCATTTTTGAAGTCTAGAAGAGCTTCTTGATCAGAAGCTAAGCATTCAATAGCTACAGCATTTCTATTAACATAATTCAGAAACAAGAAGCCATAATAAACCAGTAATATTAACATCTTTTGTATTGAACTTGTTCTCATACTCTTGCTATAAACCAATCATTATTTATATATCTACCCAATGTATACTCTTGCTATAAACCTACATACCTAGTCTTTTGGGGAATAGTTTATCACAGGAAACTTGACTTTTCCATGGAAGGGGTCACAATCAAAATTCATAGAAGGAATTAAATTATTGGTGATATTATTTTGAATCACCGTATCTAACACTAAAATAATCTTGAGCTTGTGTGTTTACATTTGACGTCTTAGAAAATTATGATTAAGAAAATCCAAATATTTTTATGTGTCATAACCACATTTTCGTTAAATTAAATTTGTTGCTTTCCTTCTCTAGAATATATTGACATATTTACAAACAATGCTGCCTCAGACTTGTCAAAGAAGGCCAACTCCATTCATAAGCTCAATTCGTTGGTATTCACTCAACAGTCACACACGCTCCACGCCAAATAATCTGGAGATGGTTCAGGGGCAAAGCTAGGATCAAAATTCAAGGTATTTCCATAACCAAAGTAAAATATTAAAATTTAATGGTGTGTTTGTTTCAAGGATTAAAATTATAATTCTCGAAATATTATTCTTGGATAGATTATTATTGGGAATTTTATTTCAGTCTACATGTTTAGTGAGTAATTTAAGTTTCTAAGAATATTTACAAAATATATTCAATTTAAATTTTAAAATAAATAATAAAAGAATTAAAATATTTGAAAGGGGAAGTTATAGGTGGATAGTTCTTATTCTCATGTGAATAAAAGTTTCTCATCCTTTGGTAAAAAATAAAGATTCTCACCATATATCATGGAAATAGAAAGTGACAAAATCATGTGTAAAATAAATTTATGGAAATAAAAAGTTCAAGACATATTTTCTTAAAACTTGAAATAAATATTTGAATGAAAAATATTCTAGCCTATATTCCAGGGAACAAATTCACAATCCAAGAAACAAATGTCCCCTAAAGGTTTTTTCTTGTGTAATAAAAAAAAGAACAAAATGTGTAAAATCTACCTACTATAGATTTTGATCCTGGGACATATTGTATAAGACTCCAAAATTTATACCATTCAGACAAATTTCTATACATTTAGTGTATTCCAAGGAATACCTTATACCCCCTTGATATGCCCCTAAGAAAGTTACAACAGTTTCTCTTATACAAATATGATCATGTGTCACATCCATGGATGATTTAACTAATACTTCTAAAGTTCCACCTCAATCTCATAATAACTCCAGATTACTGACCTTTTTTTTAGGTACCCTCTTCAATCATAAGAGAACTATTACCACCGCACCAGAAGCATCTTCACAATGATCTTTATCAACATAAGAACCATTTTCTATTCTAGTATCTAATAGTGACGTCGTATGTGGATATCGATTCCCTTTGATTCTTCCAAATTTCTTCAATTTCCCAATTGTTAATGCATTCACTCTCACCTCCATGGTTGGTTTGTAGGCAACTTGCGCATAAAGCATCACCAACGAACATCTCCGATCAATAGTTGAGATTCTTCTAGACAACGCTACGCTGGTTCATTTTCCAATAAGCGATGAGAGTCTCATAAAACAAGGTCCTCAAATTTCAATGATGATTCCTTTAACTGTCACTTCAAAAATTCACCCTTTCTCGCTTCAACCTCAAGTTCCTCCATCGTAGACTCACCTTCCTCCTCTTCACGTTTCAGTTCCCCCTCTGGTGCATCTTCTCTAACACCTCTAAGTCTCGTTCAACACTTCAAATGCGAATACACTTCTGTTGAATTTTTAATATGTTTTAGCAACAATCCTTCCCCTCACATTTGATAGATATCCACTATAATCATACTTAAATACAGGGAACCACTAAAACAACTTAGTCTTAGATTTGAAATTACTCTATCCCTCTACAGTTTTGACTTTGCTGCTTTTCTCTTTTTCTATCTTATAGTTTACTCCCTCAGGAACGAATTATAAGTAAATTTAATTTTTTTGGTACATTTGACAATCAATGTATGTAGTCCATGTATGAACTACATATATTAATTATCAAATGTAATAAAAAAAGTCAAATTTGTTTATAATTCGTTACGGAGGGAGTATTATTTTGGCTATTGAGTCTGCTTTAAGTTAAGTTTTGGCATATATCTTAAAATTGATGCAATGCATTTAAATTATATTACGCATTAAATCATATTTTGCATGCATTAAATCAACCATGAGATAAAAGTTGTTGCAAAGTAGTTCAAATTGTTGAAATATTAGATTTAATATTTAAATATAATCCAAGTTGTACAAGTCCAAATCAGAGTCGTCTCAAGTTTTTGGATTCGCAGTGTAAGTTAGTCTCACTTTAGCAAGGAGAAAATAAATAGAGGCCATATATAATCACGATTTACCCTAGCAAATATTTTATGAGGCCCCACTTAACCATAAGTTAACCTTGAAAATTTTGAGGCCCTATGCGGTAGGTTATTTTGCACGCCCTCAAAGACGACATTGGCCCAAATCCAATTAGGATTATATAAAAATAGGTATATTTGTATCATTATTTGTACAATTCAATTCATAATAAAATTCTTATTTCCTTTATTCTCTCTTTCTTCCCTCACTAAAAGTGCCTCACGCACTAACAAATTGGTATCTAGAGCTCCGATTAGATTCTTGATCGTGTTTTCAAGAATCACACGTCAGAGAACTTATTTTCAAGATTGTGGGTTGTTCAGTAGCAATCACTACGAAGATGAATGGTGACAATAGCATTCTGAATTCTCTTCCAACTCTTCACGACAAAAAATGGATTCGATGGAGAGAGAAAAATGCAATCTCTGTTTAGCTTTCATGAAACCCTAGAAGTGGTTACTAATGGCGGTTTTGCGCTGGCTGCAGATACAACCGACACACAGAAAATAGTCCCTAAAGAAGCAAAGAAGAAGGACTACAAGGCTGCGTATTGCATTCATATGATGATCAATGTGGCGAACTTTGATAGGATCTCTCATGTTATATCGGCGAAGGAGGCATGTGATAATATTGTCAAGTACTATGAAGTAGGTGAAAAAGTCAAGGTTGTCAAGTTGTAGACCTTGCGCTGATAATATGAATTGTTGTCGATTGGCAAAGATGAAAAGATTGCAGAGTATGTGTCAAAGGTGCATAAACTCATCCATCTCGTGAAGAATTATGGTGAAAACCTAACTGATAAGGTGATAGATGAGAAGGTAATGCGTATGTTGGCCTCTCACTTTGATCACGTTATCATAGCTATTCAAGAATCTAATTAGCTTGAAACCTAAATTGAAAGATTTGGTTGGTTCTTTGGAAGTGCATGAGATTAGGATTGTCAAAAGGAAATGAGTTCAAGATTTGATACAAGGTTTACAGGCTCAGTCATGGAAAAATAATGATGGTTCCAACAAATTCAAAGGCAAGTTCGACAAGACTCAAGGCAATGAGTCTTGGTCGAACCCCCACAAGAATAAGGTCGATGATAGGGCTTCTGAATCCTAAAAAAAAAGAGGAGGAAACTATCAAAAGAACAAAGAATATAAAAAAGGTGTGCAGTGTTACAACTGTGAAAAGTGGATCACTTCGCCAAGAATTATTGGTGCAGGAAAGACAAAGGATCAACAGGTAAGGACGAAAGAGCGAACCTTGCACGTAAGACTTGGATGATTATGAAGGTATGGTGGTTATGGCTTCAGTAGCAGATAACCATGTCAAATCCAGGATCTGGTTCCTCGACTCTGACTGTTCGAGTCACATGGCTGGTCAAAAAGTGTGGTTGGTAGATTTCAATGAGTCGAAGAAGAGCAAGGTAAAACTTGCTGATTATAGTTCATTGCAAGCAGAAGGTATTGACAATATAGTTTTTCAAATGATTAATGGGGGAAATCTATCAAAGATGTACTTTATGTACCTGGAATGAAATACAACTTGCTAAGTGTTGGACAACTGGTCGAAAAAGGTTTCTCAGTTGTCATGAAAGATAGAGCTTTAATATTGTCCGACACCCAGAACAATTTGGTCTTGAAATATCACCTATTGAAGAACATGATGTTTAAGACTATGATCAGTTCTAAAGAAGTTCAATGTTTGAAAACAGTTGTCGACCACAAGGATAGTTGGTTATGACATTTGAGGTTTGGACATTTGAACTTTCGATCACTCAATCAGTTGATTACTCAAGATATGGTGACTGGTATCCCAAGTCTTGAGATGTTCGACAAACTCTTTGAAGGTTGTTTAGTCAGAAAGCAATCCATAAATTATTTCGTTTCAACTATACCAATAAGATTATCCTACATACTCGAAGTGTTACATTCAGATATATGTGGCCCGTTCGAAGAACATACCATTAGTGGAAACATATATTTTATTTCGTTTGTCGATGAGTTTAGACAAAAGATGTGGATATATGTGATCAAGAGAAAGGAAAGATTATTCGAAATCTTTAAGATATTCAAGATACTTGTCAAAAACTAGAGTGAGAAAAGGATCAAAGTTCTGCGAACAGATGGAGATGGTGAATACACATCCAAGGTGTTTGAAGATTTATATGCAGAACATGGTCTCGATCATGAGGTAACAACTCCTTATACTCCTCAACATAATGGAATTTCAGAAAGAATAAATAGAACCATATTGGATATGGAGAGATGCATGCTTAAGAAAAAGAATTTTCCAAAATCCTTATGGGGTGAAGCTATTTCGACTGCAATTCATATCCTGAACAAGTGCCCAACCAAGAAATTGAAGAACAAGGTTCTTGAAGAAGTATGGAGTGAAAAACAACCATCAGTGAGTCGTCTAAAGGTGTTTAACTCTATGTGTTAACAGCATGTTCCTGATGCAAGGAAAAGGAAGCTTGATGACAAAAGTGAACCTATGATTCTAGTAGGATATCATTAAACTGATTCATACAGGCTATTCAACCTAATTAATGAGAAGATCATGTTGAGTTGAGATATTGTGATTGATAAAAATTTCGCCTGAGATTGGAATTCTAATGATGCAATTAAGAAGCCATTGAT